ATCTGTGTATAAAAAGTCGAGCGCCTCTTTAAACCCAGCTTCACCTGCTTGTGACTTCTGTAGGCTAATCCAAAAGACCGTACGTACAGTAGGTGCGCTAACTCATGAAACTTTGTCTCTGCATCTTCTAATGTTTCCTGTCGAGTTTACAATATGGCTCAAATCCACTGCTAAATTTAATAAACCCTATATGAGCGCCTCTTAATAGCATATAGAAACGTATGAGCTTCCATGAACAGAAAATATACAGCTTGTAGTTTGAAAATCCTGAATGCAAGCGTAGCGGCAGGTCGGGTCCAAAATTATTTGGGAATTGTGCAGTTTTTTAAAGCCGAACTATACCCTTCCATCAAGTATAAAATTTGAAAAAGACGTAGTTTCCCACCAAATGAGTAGAAGAATAAACATTTATATGCATGTTTTCTGTGAAATATATTTGAATTTACAAGGACACCAAAAATCAATGACAAAAATTCGTACTTCTTAAGTAACCATTTTTTGCAGTGTTGTTTTTTGCAGCATCCGCAAAGAAGTTCGTTCAAAAGCTGGCATCCTGCAGCAACTGAGTTATCTTGGGTTTACGCTGCACGGTGATTATTGTTACAACCCAACGAAAATAATCTTTTCGAGTCGAAAACACATTTCGGAAATTCGGCCAACATTTCACCAGTTAGCACATCTACTGTACTTGTATTTGTTACTTGCGCTGCCGACTGCGCGTTCAATTCGCTGATCATTTGGGCTCGACTGCATGTGTTCTCCGAAGCAGCCTTCCTCCTTACTTTTGCTTTACGTGACAATTATCGTGGTTTTTTTTTCAACCAATAATCCCGGAAAAACGAAAGTCTGTCATTGTGAACGACTCCATTTGAATCCTCATTTCTCCAGAGAAGTCAGTTCTCCGTTAATCTGCGAAAAACACTTTCTGGAGCCGCGATAACATAATCGTAATTTTGACACTTAGGCGCACATTCGAATATCCTACCATTACTGCGATTACTACGGTGTTTGGGTTCCATGACTCTGCCCACAAAGTATGCCAAGTTCACCAAATGTATTGTATACCCGAAAAGGCTTGACATGTCCCTCCGTAGGAAGCTGAGAAAATTTCTGGACGTACCGTCTGGGGACATACATACCAAGCGAATTTGATGCCCTGACATTCGAAGTGTTGCCAACACAGGGAAGACTACTTTCCGGATGCATTCGTAGACGCCACCTGCATCGGATGTTACACCGTGTTTGAAAGCCAGTCTTATCAAAGAATATAGAGAATCCTTTCAGAATAAAAGCTTTCTAAACATTTGCGAAAAATCTGTCTTTCCGGTAAAGGATTGGGAGAGATCGAAGTTCTTTTGGCTGTCCTCTTTAGCAAAAAAATTACTCGTTTGTTACTATAGGGAATTCATAATGAACATTTGTACCCGAGTGTACATATATCATTATTCCAATTTTGAGCCTTAATTTGTTGCCGTAAGAACTGTCACAAAATCGGTAACAGTATCTGGTAACACACTCGTAAACAGTTTCGTCTTGACTTGGTAGTCTATCCACTAAGGACACAATGATAAGAATGTGGAAAGCAGCATCCGTACTGGGGCTCCAGTGAACCGAGTCTCTAGTTAGTGAATCACAGTTTCCTCCGAAAATAATAAAATAATTTGGGCGTCTATCTTCGATAGCCGAACTCCCATGTCCGAGTTCAGTCTCTGAACAAAAATCTCGGTCGCATGTCACTGATTTCAGCAAAAAAGTCCATGGCATGTGTTCTACAAGGAAATTAGTTTTACCATAGGAGCCGAGAGCGCAGACATTTCTTTTGGCCAATTTCTGCAACTTCATGCCGCAAATGTGAGTACTTAGGGGTTACACTATTAACTACCAAAAATATTTTAAAACGGCTACTGAAGTCAGAATTATTTATGGTTAAGATGAGTTTATTAACTTACGGACACCGTGTCACCTTTTGCGATCACGATTTTTGTACCTGACTGTGACGCTCGCTTATGGCTTGGAAATATTCGTCCGTTTGTCATTGTTGCCACCTCTCTTACCCTAAGACAGTCTACCATTTGACGACATGTCTACTGATGTCAGTCGACGTGACTTGAGTCGAAGCGTTTAGCATTTATAGAGGACGTGGAAAAATTGCACATGGACTACGTGTTCTGTCAATATTAGCCTGCCATTTAAATTAAATCGGCAGCCTATTCACTTATCCCCCACTTCGCTTCTCCAGTACACGCCTCATCTTGTTTCTTTAGGCGTGGCCTGTGGCAGTCTCTCCTGTGGTCTCGGTGACGTCACCTTCCTCACCATGGCTGCCTTCTTTGAAAAGTAAGGAAAAGCGGGCTAAATAATTTGCTGTT